TGAACCAAAAGCAGAAAAACTTTCTGCCAAATAATCCATGAAAACGATGGAAGCTTCTGTAAGTGAAAGGCAAAAAATAGTAAGAAAATTCATGAAACAAAGGATTTCCATCCAAATCCCAAAGTTACTAGATACCTAACATCTATTGATTTCTCAGTAGTTTTTTTTTTTTACACCTGCTTTTTATCATCTTTCATCTGACTCCAACAGAAAACAGAAACCTAAACACACTTGCACATCTGGCCCATTTTGCCTGACTTCTCACCTGCTCAAAAAGGAATACAATTTAATTATTTAGCCTGTGGATGACGAAAATTGTATGCTGCTGCAAGATCTCAGGTGAGAAAAGTTTCTCATCCTTGGAAGAGCAATCATTTTGAAAGTATACCAGTAAAGTTTATAGAACATTATGAAAGGTACAGGATGGACACATCCTGCTCTAGCTTTGGTGTGAACATTTTTACCTGTGATATCAAATTTTGGAGTCCAGAATAACAATAAACTCTTGCATATAATTGTAAATTTTGTACATAGCAACATTTTTCGGATTCCTTGGGAAGAAGGGAAAGTTGATTTTCATTCCTATGACAATTCTACTTAATTATCTAAATACGGCAACCATTCAAATAAAAGAGAAGACTTTCATTAAAACAAAATCATTTTGTATCTTCATATTCTCTTGAGTTGTGCACCTTACTCTCTTCTCTTCCGAAAGCTAAATGACTTCCATACAGTCAGAGTCCAGGTAAAGAGGAAACATGTTTTATTTCTTCGGAAATCAACAGGAACAGAATTAAACTACGTGTCCCCCCAGCCTAATTAAGATTTTTCTGTTAAATTTGGTTCAGTTCCCTGATCCCATTGTGGCCCAATTGGGGGTGGCACAGAGGGGGACATGGGGAGAAGTGTGCAGACCACTACCTCTGAAGCCTTCGTTTCCTCGGGTGACCATGACCCATGAAATCCGTGAAGGAGCTCTTCTCATCTCTATGGGGCAAGATAGTTTGCCTGCAGAAGTTTTGGAGAACACAGATAATGTAAAGTAGATAAGGGACAAACTAATAACCCAGAAGGAGCACTGTGAGTTAAGAAGAGCTGATTTCAGCCCTGGATCAGGGATACAGATTGTGCTAGTTCAGACGACAGCTGAACTTGAACGTCAAATGAATGGAATTTCAGTTTTGATGGAAAACAATCAGAGTTTACAATTTCAGCAGAGAGTTATGCCAAAAATCTTAACAGGCCCCCACAAGCTTGATCATTCAGTGATGAGGGGAATGTGTGGTTAGAGGCAGCTGCAGAAACTACCTGTCAGGAAGGTCACGGCAGGATGCTGACATACCTCATCCATCCGCTGCGAGGGAAGGGCTCGAATAAACACTGCTGCCGTACAGTGCACCCTCAGCAAGTCTGCGGGTGACACCACGCTGAGTGGTGCAGTTGATTCACCTGAGGTAAGGGATGCCATCCAGAGGGACTTGGACAGGCTGGAGGAGGGGGCCCATGTGAGCCCCATGAGGTTCAACAAGGCCAAGTGCAGGATCCTGCACCTGGGCTGGGACAATCTCCAGTATCAGTACAGACTGGGGGATGAATGGATTGAGACCAGCCCTGCCAAGAACTTGGGGTTACTGGTGGATGAGAAATCAGGCATGAGCTGACAACGTGCACTTCCAGCCCAGAAAGCCAACCATATCCTGGGCTGCAGCAGGTCGATGGAGGTGATGCTCTCCCTCTACTCTGCTCTCGCAAGACCCACCTGGAGTACTGCGTCCAGCTCTGGGGACGCACCCTGCAAAGGCCCCTAACTACCCTCCAAAGTGCCCCGGAGCCTCATCTGGGCTTTGCTGGGGCCTGCTGGAGGCCCCTGCTGCCTCCCAGAGGTCCCCCCGTTCTACAGAAATCTGAAAGTCCCCAAAAAATCACTTTTAAGTACAAATTCACTTCTGTAGATATTCTGGAGGTTTGTATAGGCTACATTTATTTATGCTTTTTAGCCCCCCATCACCCACATCTAGATCCTCTTCATCTTCCTCCAAAATAGGCAAAATATAATAACGAGGATCATCCCAGTTCTCGTTTTCCTGGTCGTCATCTGAATCTTCGTCAGCAAAATTAGAGGGGATGAATCCTCTTGTGTCGTCTGCCAGTTCTCCCACAGACCAACTGTCTTCATCCACCTGTCCAAAGACGTAAACATATTGTCCAGCAGTTAGAGGCAGCTCCAGTTCAGGCTGCTCACTGGGACCATCAAAAGGATTGTAGCTGTATCGAGCTATGGATGCTCAAAGCTTTCCCGGTGGTTGTGCCAGAGCCTGCAGGATGACAACTGTTTGTCTGCTACTGGTTCTTCTGTCTCACTTGTGGGGTCCTCCTCTGAAAGAAGGCAGGACCCAAGACTGTCCTCTGCCCAAGGTGACTCTGAGGGGCTCTGAAACCAATTCTCTGGTTCACTTACCTGGGCTCGAAAGAGTTGCCCGGCTTCTCCATGGTCCCTTTTTACTTCTCTCTCAGCACTTTCTGCCATTTCTCTCACAGCTTTCAGTTTGTGCTCTGCAGGTTCCAGCTGGCTTTGAAGACTGCTGATGGCTTGGATGGCAGAATTTCGCTCCTCTGCCACTCAAGTCAGTTGTCCCTTCAGGTCAGCATTTTCAGCTCGAACCTTTTCCACCCAGCGCATCTGCCCACGGAGGTGAGAATTTTCTTCAGCCAGTGTGGTGTTTCCATCTGTCATCTCCAGAAGCTGCACCTCTAACTCCTCACACCTTTGGCTGAGGCTGCTCATGTAATAGGAGCCCTCGTCCTCTGCAGCCACTTGGGCCTGGAGCTCCTCAGCCGCCTTCTGTGAGGAGGATTCATTCTGCTGGTCCTGTGCCAGCAAAGCTCCGGCATGCTCTCTGCTTTCTCCAGCCCTCTGCTGAGGAAACGGTTTCATGCACGGTTCCTCAGCGGAGCTTTGGATGGGCAGTGGCACGGGAGTATTCATCAGCTGCCCGATGGTCTCCTGCAGATGTCTGCATCTTTCTTTCAGCTGCTCGGTGAGGGCAGCTAGCTGAGCATTTTTCTGCTGGAGCCTCTCTGCC